TTTAAGGTGGGATAGGAAAAGATTTTCAGTGTTCTCGAGGTCTTGGCTCTGCTGTGATGAGAAATGAGTAAATACGGGTTTGCCAGGGTGCTTTGGTCCTCCTAGAGAGAAGGTGGGGGGCAGGTGTCTCTGTGGAGCAGAAGAATGTTCTTGCAAATACCGAGCCTGCATAAATAAAAGCTGAAGCTGTTGGGAGATGGGAAGCAAGGTGTCTGAGCCCCTGGACCTGGGCAAGGCTTGAAGTTCAAACATGAGCTAGGGGAAGGGAGTGGAGTCTCCATCCCTGCCATCCATCCCAGACAGATTTGTGTGGGATGACACAAGCCCTGCCAGGCACATGGGTGTGTTTGGGATGGGGTGGGTGTGATTGGAGTGTGCAGGTACTTACACTTCACTGCTGTGAAATACAGATATGTTGATGAGAGCAGCAGGAGAAAGATTAGGAAATCAAGCTCTAATCAAATGTACCATGTGATTGGGGTAACTTCTCTGGGATGTCCTTGGTGCAATGTCCTAGGGCAAGGGAGCTTCCCTGTTTCTCCATGGGTCCAAAGCAAAGCATGTCTTGTAAGGCAGGAGGGCAAGCTGCCAAGTCAGAAAAAGTGATCCAGCAGGTACTGAGCTAATGTCTCTGCTTCCACGTTCCCCAGGGACCAGTGTGCACCAACTTGGGTCTCAAGCCTGGCCAGCGCCTCACTGTCAAGGGGAAAATTGCACCAAATGCCAAGAGGTGAGTTGTGCTGTGCTGCCCAGGCACGGCCAGGGCACCGCTCTGAAGGGTCTGCAAAAAGTGGTGGCAAAAGGACTCTGTCTCTTGGTAGAAGAGGAGAAGGGGTTAACAGCAGCAGTGCTTCCAGTGAGTCATCACCTAATGCACATTGCAGACACAGTACTGCCAAGGGGCTAAGCCAAAGCAGATGTGAAGTTCCAATTGCACACGCTGGCAGAGACCACATCCTTCTAGTGCAGGGTAAAGGAAATGGAAGCTGTGTCTATACTGAAATTTGGTTTGAGACCATCTGCTCCACCACATCCTCTCCCCTGCAGGAAGGTGGCCAGGAGTAGGGACACTTATGGTGCCCCAGTGGATTTGGTGCTCTCACATGATGGTGGGGAAAGAAGGAAGAAAGGTGGAGAGCAGGCAGGTGGGCTGAAGTGGAAATATACCCCTAAATGTGCAGGGATTGGGGTGGCTGGGTTTCCCAGCGAAGCCTCTGCAGCAGCCCCCAGCCCTTGGGCGGGGGGGCCCTTTGCAGGTAAGGTGGGGCCTGTAGCTGTTGTGCCAGAACTAGCGGTGTTCCAGGAAACATGTCCCAGCTCTTCCCGGTGCCTTTGAAGTTTGATACTGTCTGAGTGAAGCCTCCCAGGCTTTCTCTTGCCAACTAATATGCCTCTTCTCATCTGGGTGAGAGGCCTGAAGGCAAGGTGGACACTAGGCTAGGAAACTTCCTCCCACTGCTGTTGCAGATACTTTGGGATAGCTAATGACATGGTAATTATTTCAGCTGCCTGCAGGATGGGGAGAAGGCAGTGGCTGTCGGGCAGGATGCAGCACTAGCTAACTGTTCAAACTGAAAGGAAATCTATGGAAACCAACTGACTCCTTGGGAATTGGTTTGGGTGTATGATAACTCTGTTCAGGGCACTGTCTATGAACCATTCTCTTGTTAAAAGCTTTGAGGAAGTGGTGTCTCTCCCCGGGATGGCACTCTGGAGCCTGTCACCCCAGAAAAGTGCCCCTTACTGCCACAACACCATCTTTTTAGGGAAGCTGTGTAATTTAGCAAAGGGTTTCTCTTAGGTTACCCTCAGCTGGGCTTGAAGAAACAGACCCAGGGATGCTCATGGTAATGAGAAACATGCTGCCATAGTATTGACTTTTTTTTTTTTTAGCTGTATTGATGCCTGCTTTTTTTTTCTCTGCAGCTTTGTGATGAATCTGGGCAAGGATGCTACCCTCCTCGGACTTCACTTCAATCCCCGTTTTGATGCTCATGGCGATGTGAACACCATCGTGTGCAACTCCAAGAAGGTGGAAGAGTGGGGTGCAGAGCACAGGGAGGCTGTCTTTCCTTTCCAGAAGGGGGGCACAGCAGAGGTGAGGCATGCATATATTTATATATATACACACTCTCTGTACGTGCTCTGGTGAAGGGAGGGTGTTTGGCACAGGACACCCAGCTGCAAGGGCTGTCTGTACAGGAGGTGGCTGGCTTCTCCTGCTTGGCCAGTGCCACCACTCAGGGCTCTGAGCTCTGATGGAGGGTGGGGATCAAATGTTTAAGCTCCATCTGGCTCAAAGATGTTGCTATTGAACAGAGCAGAAAATGGGCATCTCTTGGGAGACCAGAATAACATTCCTGCTGTTGATGAGCAGGTTATTCTACTGAGCTTGTTCACCCTGTGAAGCAGAGGGTGGCACAGCAGTGCTGCAGAGGCTCAAGGAAACTTTCTCTAATTTTTCCATTTGCCTTGCAGATCACTTTTAGCGTCAACCAAAATGATGTGACAGTCCACCTGCCAGGCCACCAGTTCACGTTCCCTAACCGGCTTAACCTCTCTGTCTTTGACTACTTTGATACACAAGGGGACTTCACACTCCAGTCCCTCAGCTGGGAATAACTTCCTCTGACACCTCCATCTCAAAGATACAGAAAAAACAATCAATAAATATGAGTTTTGGTGTACTAAGTCTCAAAATCTAATCTGTTTAATATTGCAAGTCCTCATGGCTTGGGCACCTTGCTGGGAGTGGGTGGGGAGGGGTAACCAGAGTTGCTTTAGTACCATAAGTGGATGCAATTGTCCCAGCCTTGGTCCTTGGAAGTCATGGATGGAGAAGAGGATGAAGGTTAAAAGCCTGGGAACACAGAAGGTTAAAAGTCCAAGGAGAGTTGCGGCAAGAGGCATTGGGGCTAATTGTCACTCAGGGGAGAGTAAAAGCATCCTTTAAACGAGGTCACAAGCTGTTGAGGTCTAGGCTGACACCTTACACTGCCTAAATAGAATAACTCTACCTAAACTAAGCACTCCTGGCTGACATCAGACAGCATTGAGTGGCTGTGTTAGCTGAGCCTAGTGGGGCATGGGGTGAGGGGAAAGTCCTCCACTGTGCTAGTTTTGGCTGCAGCCTTCTGTAGAGGCTGTTCCTACTCCTATGTGTGCTTGGGACCTCTTACTGCTGCATGGAGATAGTAGAAAAGCTGTCTTGCTGGGTGTGGCAGAGCATGTAGAGTTCCTCATCCAAATCCTTTCTTCAGTAAGTGCAGGAGCACAAAGTGTTGTGCTGTGGCACAGGAAGGCAGTAATGTGGAGGTGTCTGGTTTTATTCTGCCCCTTGTGCTTTGCCTGTTCCATCCAGAGCTGAGGGAGGCAGCAATGTCCAGCTGGAGTGTGGGATGCTAAGGATGTGTGCTCTATGCTTTTGTTCCCCTTTTACTTAGTCCACATGAACCCGAGCACTTCTCAGTCTAAACTGAGGCTAGACTCTGAGGAGTTGGGGCAGTCAGGCATGTTTGATGTTGCTGCAGAGCTGCCTCGGGGTCTCTCAGTCTGATGCTGCCCTGGTGCTGCTGCTGAGCATGCTGTGCCTGGTGGGTGGAGGAAAGGTGGGCCCTGCCCCATCCACAGTGCACAGCAGTCACCAGGTCAGTCTGGGATGAAAGGCTTGGCCACAAGCAACACAAAGCACTAACAATTTGATGTACTACAGCATTCCCTGCAGGCCTGGCTGGGCTAATTCCTCACATTAAGCAGTCTCCAGAGCAGCTGGAGAACAGGGACTTTCCCCTGCAGCAGCTGTACCTGTCACTCTTATTTCATAATTCATGAGGCTCTGCCAGGTCCTGGGTACCCATGCAGAGAGAGGCTGGGCTGCTAGGAATTGTGAGTCTGAGGAGGGATAAGATTGTGAGGAGGAGGGATAAGATAAGAGTTTAGCAGAAAGGTAGGGGCACTTGGGGCGTACAAGCAACTTGAGGCTCTGCAGCTGGATCTCTCTTGAAGTCCTGTGGTACCCAAAGCCCATCTGCTTTGGATGATCACATCACACTCTTTTTAGGGCAACACCTACAATTGTAAACATGACATCTAGCATTGCCACCCTGCACACTGGCATGGCAGGGGACAGCATAGCTTGGGGACTCTCCCCATGGCCTGATAAGGATTAAGCCTTCCTTCCTGGAGAAGAGAGGTTCAGCAGTATGGAAATGAATCCTGCTAGGCTAGATAGTCTCAAGGCAAGAGACCTGGCTCAGTTTGCACAGTGGTGTTGATACAGTCTGGCAGACTGAGGTACATTTGGTGGGCCAGAGAACTGGGTATTTCCCTCAACCACAGCAGTGGCGCTGGTGAGGATGCCATGAACTGTCATGATGGACACAGAGGAGAGCTCTCTCCTTGCAGCTTCCTCTGCTGGCTGGTCTTGAAAGCTGAGCAAATGTACTGGACTGCCTGGGCTGGGGAATCTCACAATGCCTCCTAATTGCACTTAGCAATATTTCTTTAGATTCTTCTAAGATTTTTCTGTGATGGTTTCTTGAAGAGAGCTCAGTGGTAGCTTTACCACAGGAGTAGGAACCTTAGTGAGGTCTCCTGCTAGCGTGGCTGTTTCTTGCAGTGACTCACTGTTCTTGTGAAATCTATGACTCACTGTTGTCCTGACTTTGTTATGGCTTGGCCCGTTGCTAGCAAGGAGATGAGGGGTGGCAAAGGTTCCCCAGATGTATAATTTAGACATATCGAAGCTGACTGCTCCCTTCCACCCACTCCCCAACCTTGTGCAAGGTGGAGGCTGGTGTGTGAGAGCTGAAGGATCTAAGGATGGAGTCAGGATCCCTGAGACAAGCACTCTGCCCACCCAGCTGAGCAGGATGAGCAGCTATGCAAAGGGGAAAGCAGTGCAACAGCATTGATGGAAAACACTGCATGCTGGCATGGAAGGTGACACACTTTTATTTCTCAACATGACCCCAGCTGAAGGTCGGATGTCCCCAGCTTGCTCACTGCTCTCTTTCCTTCACAGACCCCGAGAACTCCCTGAAAGCCAGGGGGCTGCTGTGCCTTCCCGCAGCCTGCTGAGAGGGTGCCGCAGGCCGCGCCTCGCCCGTCCCGGTGCGGCCACGGCGCCGGCGGTAGCCGCTGGCAAGCAGGGTGTAGAGGAAGGGGTTGACACAGCTGTTGCCATAGGCCAGGCAGGTGACACCGAAGTTAAGGTAGGCCTGTGCAGTGGGGCCGATGCCCAGCCCCTCTCCCTGGTACAGCCCGGCCAGCTGCCAGGCCCAGAAGGGGAGGAAGCAGGCCCAGTAGGCCACCACGATGGCAGAGATCCTGGAGAGGAGCCGCCGCGCAGGGGCCCGGCCGGCCGCCGGCAGCCCCAGGCGCCAGGCCGAGGACCGGTACACCCGAGCCAGGCGGGTGTAGACGATGCCCAGCACGGCGCCGGGTGCCAGGACGCTGGTGGTGAACAGCACCGTCAGGTAGAGCCGGAAAGCCGACGGCGTCCAGGTGGGGATGCAGATGCGCTTTTGGGGGCCGTCCCCCTCCCGCAGCTGAGTCATCACCATCATGGGGGCCGTGAGCAGGAGCGAGAGGAGCCAGAGGATGGCGCTGGCCAGTCTGCGGTAGGCATTGCTGGCCCGCCGGGCCCGCAGAGGCTTGGCCACCGCCCAGTACCTCTCCAGGCTCATGGCGGTCAGGAGGAAGATGCTGGCGTGCATGGTGAGGAGGTCCAGGCTGAGCAACAGCCTGCAACCCACATCCCCAAAGAACCAGTCGTGGGCAAAGTAGGTGCAAACCACAAAGGGGATGGTGGAAAGGTACAGGAGGTCAGCCAGGGCAAGGTTGATCATGTAGACCCCCAAGGAGCCTGCTGAGCAGCCTGTCACCCTGCCAGAGGCCACTGCCACTGTGTAGATGTTCCCCACCATCCCAGTGAGGCACATGACCAGCAGCACTGCACCCAGCGGCCCTGTGACCAGGCTGTCCCCACCCAGGACATTGCTGTCATCACCCCCACCATTGCTTTCCTCCAAGAAACTGCCACCCTTGGGATCTTCTCTAGGACTTGGGCTGATGACAGAAGTGTTGTAAGGCATCTTTGGGTAAGTTAAGTAAGAGCAAATCAAGCTCTCAGAGACCTGTTCCTTCCTCCTGCCTTCTGCCCTCGCTGTAAGGGACAAGTCTATCCTTAACAGCGAAACAGCCAAGGGAAGAATGGGGGGAGTTCATCAGACACAGACAGGGTGCTCCAGAGAAGTCTGTTCCTCACCTCCAACTGTCCAGTCCATTATGCTGATGTTGTCCATCACAAGCTCTGTCCAGTTGTTTTCCTTAACCATGAAAGAGCCAAGAAAGGGACACTGCCTTTTCCTTCAAGACCAATACATGCAAAGTAACCTCTGCCAGCCAGGAGGAAACGTCTCTTTTCTTCGCTAGCCTTGTTGCTTCTCCAGAGTTTGCTGGGCCCACAGAAACAGTAGATGAACAAGTAGATTTCTGCTCCCAAGTCTGCCAGCTCAGCTCAGACAGACTTTGGAGAGGTGGGCCCTGCCCCGCTGACCAACCCCCTGAGAGCTGCCTTACCACTGCATGGAGGAATGTGCCTGGCTCACAGCTTCACACACCGGTGTGAATACAGTTCCAAATTTATACTGGGCTTTTAGCCACTAGCTGAGGAGCCCCACTGGCTCCCTCCTCTTTCTGGCAGACATGCTTTCTTCCCCCATATCTTCCTTTATCCTGCTCTGTCTTCCTCCTTGTTCTTGTTTCCCTTTCTTTTTCCCATTTCTCCTTTTACAGTTGTCCTCGTTTTACACAGGAGACAACTGAAAGACAAGACTCCATAATATGGCAGGGAGGGTGGAAAGCATCATGCTGTGGCTTTAGAAGGGAAACATGGGCCAGCCCTGGAAGTGCAATAGGCAGGGAGCAACCACACAGCTGTCCCCAGCCAAGCCAGACTGAAAGAACCTGTCCCCTGCTCCCTCCCAAGGACTTCAGGGCCCTTTGAGGTTTGGGTGTTGTGGATGCAGTCCCCAGTTTGCAAGCAGGCCCACCAGATGGTAGGACCTCTCACGCTTTCTGTCCTGGCCCTTTTCCACCTTTGCCCTCAAGTCAGCAGCAAGCTCCCAGAGACTCAAAGGACTGGATATTTTAGACTCGGTTTTTCCTTCCTCTCCACAAAGACCATCCTCCTCCTCCTCTGAGCTTTCCCCCTCCTTCCCTCGAAGCCCCGGGCAGCTGCCTGGCCTCAGAGCAGGGAGCAGAAGGCATTGCAGAGGCACCACCGCCTTCTAGCGAGCCACCATCGCACGACACCCGCGCCCGATGCTACCCAGCCCTTTCCTCGCCCACATCTGAGCCTCGCTGTCTCCAGGAAGACACGGTGGGACAGGATTTGCAGAGCAGAGACAGATGTGCCATACTACACGTACTCTGCTGTTAGTTTAGGGTTTCAGGCCGCTCCAGCCACACTCTTTTGCATCATCAGTGTATGAGTTTCATAGTGGCTGAGTCAAATGCCTCTGCTCATATCCAGCAGTGGTAAATCAACAGCAAACGGGAGGAGGAGGAGGCATCCCATCAGTATTCCCCACACTGTGCAATGACCTGTGGTTTTCAGGAAAATCATGCTCCAAACTAGGAGAGATCAGCAAAATGCAGTGAAAATATACTTTTAGGTGGATATTTCCATTGCACCATGGTAGCAGGGTGAGTGATGCTTCCACTACATCCAGAAAGTTGATGCTCCCAACAGATTGTGGTGGTCTTGGCACAGAGTGGGGTCTCCAGAGGAGCAGAGGGGTGCTGTGAATCTGCCCATTTAGCTCTGATGGGAATAACCACAGTCCACATGCCCCAGGAAATACAATGAACAGCTATGGCTTTTTGTCTGATAGTCTGTACTTTTTTCTAAGAAACAACCTCATACCTCAGCAGTTAACATGTCAGCTAATTTAGGAAGTTAAAATAAATTACAATGGTATTTTTAAATTATTTCTTTAGGAGCTAATTAAAATACTGGTTGTCTCATTAATTCCATTTAGCTCCCCTTAACACACGAGATACCTTGTCTCACACTGCCTGCGTAAAACTGCAAACACATCAGATACTACAGTCACCAGCAGAACTCAGCTACCCCTTCCAGCACGTGAAGCACAGCTCTCCCAAGAGAACTTTAAGATATGAGCTTTAAGACATGAATCACGGGTTGATTTAGTGTTTTAGGCTAACTCTTACTAATAGAACATGAACATATAGACATGTAGGTGTGATGGACAAGAGAAACATATGCAATGTGCAGGGCAGAATGAAAGTGCCAGGCCTTTGACATACAGGGGATGAGGGAGCAGAGATCCATGTATTACTATATTCACCATCAATCCTAGGCTCTAGTAGAGACATCAGACTCTGAACTCTATACACATTATCAGCTCCTCTCTGCAAGACCCAACCCCTCTCCATTGGTCTGACAGAGACTCAAGTTTGGCAGCTGGCATGAATATCCCTCACAGTATCCCTAGGGCAGTATTCTGCCTCCATCACTTTTTGTTATGTGTGTGCACACACACATTATCCACATACCCAAATGTACATCCACATTATTTTTGAGATGATCTCTTCATCTTCTCTGAAGCATTTGGAGGAAGATCTGCACACAAATATTATCTGAAGAAGCTTTCAAGCCCATACATGGCAGAAAAAAACAAGCCTCACATTTGGTTGTTAGGTTACATCTTTTAAGTGACCTTTCTCAACCACTGCACTAGCTGATCAAATATCTAGATGTTTCACATCTCTGTCACCATCAGGTATGATATTTCTTGTAAAGGAACAGGCTCTTTTAGTCCAGCAGCCCCTGTAACTCGCTGTGGTGCCTGGCTCCAGCCAGGCAGCTCTTGTCTCGTGTAAGGTGGGTGGCTGTCTGCGGTTTCATGCAGGAGTGATGCTGGGTCTCACGTCCAACATAGTAAGTGCCAAAGTTTTCAAGGCCCAACTGACAGGCAAGACCTGTCAGCATCCAGTCAGATGACAGCAATTTAACAGGGACAGGTTCTACTGAGGATTCAGATGCACAAAATCTTGCACTCAAAAAGAAGCAGCTTAATCGGGCCCTCAAAACAAAGTGGATATTCTATGAGGGCAAAAGTGCTTCAAAGGGTGCTCCAAGAGCACTGTTTCTCTGATGTCAATCTCCTCTCCTGTCCTGACAGCCACTCAATAGGACCAGGTAGAGTTCAGTCACAGTGAGATTCCTGCATGGCTTCCTAGGATTTAAACTTGAAGTAGGCTTCAACTGTAGTGAAAAGAAAAGTTGGTGCATTAGAGCAATACCCTGAATGGGAGTGGCAGGAGGGGAAGGAAACAGCATCCAGGCTCTTACTTGCGTATTCCTGTGGTGTCATGGCCTGGTTGATGACACTAGTGAAGGCTCTGATCCACTCCAGCTGGTCAGTCTCTGTCTCGCAGGTGAAGAGGTATTCCCGGTCAGGGGTGACAATGGTGATGCCGTAGTGCCAAGAGAAGTTGCCCTGTGTCCCTGAAGGCAATCCCTTCTGGACACTATATCCATTCTCTCCACTGCCCACAAATACCTCACCCTTAGCAAATGCATCCTGCACATCAGAAGGGAAATACAGTGATTTATGGAATCCCAGAAGAACAAGAGAATCATTATAGGGCACCTAAGGACAGGAGGAGAGTGTGTGAGGATTGGGGATGGAGCAGCAAAAGGTTTTGGAGCAAGTCAAGGGATTCAGAAGAGCAGTGAGCCTGTGCTCAAAGGCAGTAGTGAAAAGGAAAAAATAAGGGCATAAATCTCAAGAGGTCTGTGAGAGAAACTGCTGCTCTCATCTCTCTGTGTCACCTTCCCATCACCACCTTTACACTGCTACTCTCCCTGTTCCCATTGTTTGCAAGCAGTGAAACAAACACAGAAAGCATGTGATGAACGAAAAGTGATGGAAAGGGGAAGACCTGGAGTCCATTCACAGCAGTGGGAAGCCTGCAAGCCACCCTTACTGCAGAGCACAGACTCTGTGTGCACTTTGACCCTGCCCTCAGCACCGCTGCTGCAGCTGCCGGCGGTCACATCTCCCTCTCACCAAAGGATCCTTGAAGTACATGAGCCTGCGGTGATCCAGCGTGAACCAGCGCTTCTTAAAAGCCTCTCTCTGCTGTGAAGGGAAGAGGTGACATGTGTGAGGGGACAGTGCCCTCTGCTGCGAGCAGTGCGAATGGGTACCCCAAACCCATCCCAACCGCTTGAAGCAAGCCCCTGCCTTAACAGCAACCTCCTCCTCGCCCTTTCTGAGCTGAGAGTGGGGGTCAGTATCCGGTGATTCACTCCCAGCTGCTGTCCCCAGCTCCTGAACTTCGCTGAAGAACCCCAGAGTTGAGACAGGAGAAATCTGGACACTAAATACCTGTAAGGTCATGCACACACAGACACATGCAGAGAGATCTGTCGCTCTGGGAGAAAGCAGGGACTCTGGCTTCATCTACTTTCACATGTGTCCTTCCCCTTCCTTTCATTCTCCCCTCCCTTGGTGCACACACACTCTTCCCACGGGTGTCTAAAGAGTCAGGGGGGAATGAGGAAACAGCAGGAGAAAAACATTGAAGTAGGGAAAGCCAGTGATGCTCTGGCAGGCCCCTGTTAAGGTTTTTTCTACCACAGCAGGCTCACCTTGGGACCAGTCTTCTCCATGTATCCCTCCTTCAAGAAGTTTCTCGTGAGACGATTTTTAATCTGACAAAATGGCAAGAGTAACATTCACTTAGCTGTGCCTCTTCGCTATTCATTTCCCTCCCCCACCCTTCTATTCCCCCAAATTCAGTCACCTTCTAAATTTACATTTCTCAAACTGCCTAGGTAGGCATCACTTCTGCCTCCAAAATGCCCAGCAGAGAGCAGCTATTTTCTGACCATCACAAGCCCTTTTAAAAATACCTTCTCATCCTTCTGTCTTTACCCTGCAATTTCCACTTCGGCACCTGGGGTTGTAACAGTAACTAATGAGCTCTTTTATCATGTAAGCAGCGGGAGACTCCAGTGCTGCCTTACCTCATTATCGCTGGCAATGGGAAATGCTACCTTCAGGTAATGGAACTGCACAGAGCGGATGGCGTTGAACCAGTCCACCACCTCCTGAGGATGGAACAGGACAGGACAGAAAGCTTAGCCAGAGCAACAGAGGGGCTTCTAAATCCACCCAGCTGCACCCAGCCCTGTGTTAACTACAAACACAGTCAGCTCTCCCTCCGCAGCATCTCCCTCACATGCACACAGCCAGCCAGCACGGTGCCCCATTCCCCACATGCACAGACAGCACATCTATAGAACTCCTCCCACACAAACCAACTCAGCCAGTGCTCCTGCCCTGCTCCCTGCAGCAAAACTCTCTCACAGATACACAAACACACAGCCAGAACCCCCAACCTATTACCTACAGCAGCTCACACTCACACACCCCATCCTACCCATGCTTCATATTATTTATTATCAGCAGCTCCTCAAAGCACCTCAATGGCTTTGCAGTGTTTGATGCCAAAACCAGATACCTTTCCACTTTCATGGTAGACAAATATATTCCGGGTCTTATTGTCTTTGAGGTAGGTGATCTGCAGGCCATTGGGGTTCCCAATCTTCTCTGGCTGGAATGTAGCATTGATGACATCTATTTTAACATTGATTTTGGGTTCTTTA